AAGCTCTAAAATAACCAATCATATAGAGTTTATATTATGATTACTTTAGAACTTGTAATTGTCAAATAACTGACTCTAGAGGGGGGCTATAAATATGTAATAAGTGATAGCTTCTTTATAATAATAATTATAATAATTTTCTTCTATTGAAGTCTTTGCTTCACTTATTTTTAAGATCTTCTCTTTCGATCTTTATTTGTTCTTCTTGAAATTCTTCTTTAGATTTCACATAAGTTATCATTTCCATTATTTGGTCAGTAAGCCTTATCTAATAGTCGATCTGGAATTTTGGTGGTAAATCACAAGTTTACTATGCCGATTTTGTCAATCTACTATTTAGCCCATAACACTATAAATATTATAGGAATAAACTTGGTTATTCACTATTTTATCTGGTATATGGATGTGACGCAATAACTCCAGTTGAATTGACCTTGAAGAGTTACCAAATGTTTATTGCAAAAAGAAAATGAACCACAAAAGAGCTATGCAAAGACTACCAGTGACGAACTTAGTCGATGTTGGAAACATTTTAACACAGTCTTATTGAGAAAGCTTGATTATTGACAGCTTATATTTTTTACAGGGTTGGAGCTATAGTAAAATTATCTAGTGCTAGGCACTTTAATGAATAATGTAGCATTAGTAAAATTTTTGAATTGTTAGAAAGTTCAGTTGATAAGGGTCAATTTTATCATTATGAATAGAAGCCCTTTTAAGAAACTGTTACGCAGAACTAGGTCAATAAGCTTTAAATGGAAAATAGTCTCATGGTGCGAGTTCTAGGTCAAGAAAATCCTGGGCTGATTCCGGAGCCCAAATATTCACAACTAAATAGAAAATCTTTTCGAAATTTCTTTAAACTTCTAGTGAAGATTTCTCAGTAACTATTCAGCCAAATTTAGTACTTTTTATTTAGATTCTATATATTTATAAAATTGAAATAAAAAAAAATTCATTGATTTTGGTTTAGTGGTTGTCAAGAGATCTTCGCTAAAAGGTTGAAAAAACTTGAAATATCGAAAAAATTCTTTTTTGAAATTGTAAACGATTACTCAATGAAAATATTGATTAAAAGATTTGGCCACAGTTTTTTTTACAGATATCTAAACTTTAAATGAAGATAACTTGGCACTTATCTAATCAAATTTGATTAAAATTTTTTTATATTAATCTATAATCTCATAGAATTAATATAACAAAAAATTTGATTAAATATGATCAGGTAAGTGCCAATCTTCATAGATGTCCATAAAAAAAAAAAGCAGGGTCAAAATTTTTTTAACTTTTAATTGATATTCGCAACATCTACCTATTCAAATTCATTAAATTTTTTTTTAAAAAAATTTGAATAGACGATTGTTAAGAATCTGTCAATTAAAGTTTAAATTAATACTATAATTTTATTGTGGCATTCTTTTTCTTAATTTTTTTTACAAAACTCAAAACGATGATTGCTTATCAACTATTCATCCAAATTCAATGAAAACATTTTATTCTAATTCTACGAATTTGTAGATTTAGAATAAAGAAAGTTTAATAAATTTGAATAGGTAAATGTTGAGAAATATCAATTAAAAGTTAAATAAATTTTAGCTGCATCTTTTTCTTTAATAGATATCTAAACTTTGACCGAAAATTACTCAGCACTTATATGATCATATTTGATCAAAATTTTTATATTAATTCTATAAGATTGTAGAATTAAAATAAAAATAACTCTAATAATCGAATTTGATTAGGTGCCAACTTATCTTCGTAATATTTCAAGTTTTTTCAAAACTTCTAGCAAAGGTTTCTCGACAACTACTAAACCAAATTCAATGATTTTTTTTTTTATATTGATTTTACAAATATATAGAATCAAAATAAAAAAAGATTTCCTAAATTTGATCAAATACTTATCGAGAAACCTTTGCTAAAAGTTTAAAGAAATTGAATATTTAGACTCTGGAATTAAATTACCATAGTCCTATATGTTTGAATGGTCATGATTATCTATAGTAAAATGCTTTAAACTATTTATTTGATTATAGTATATAGGCGAATCTTTTGTTGCCAGCAGTTACAAAAATCTCAAAGTTTTAAAATCAAAATAACAAAATTATGCTTATGAAATCAACTTCCATGTCTTAATAAAAAATATTCATTGTATAATATATACTTTTTTAGGACTATCTGTATTGAATCCAGATTCTCTTTCATGAATCCGGTTATAATTTGAATTGAGTAAATTCGAATTCAATCCGGAAAAATTTGATCGCCCAATCAAAATACATATTTAATTTTATATTATTATTATTATTACCTGTCATTAACGATGTGTTAAATTTTAACATCTCTATTACCATATCCTGCAAAATAAAGGTGAATAATCAGCATTTCCAAAATTTCCTTACACGATATGTAAAAAGAAAACAGCAGTCATGTGAATTTTAGCCAATCATCGGTGTAATATGAGAACAATAATTACAGTTATTTTCTTTTCTAATTTTCTTTTTCTAGCTTTCTGAGCAGAAGAATTTATAGTTTCTAATAAAACTTATAAAAAAAAACAAAGAAAAAAAACCTGAAACAAAAAATAAAAAAAAATTATATGAATTAGTTTTATGATTTTTATTGTGAGCATTTATATGAAAATAAAAAATTTAGTATTATAACAAAAGAAAGTGATGATTTTATACAAAACCACCTATAATGAAAAAATATGAAAAAAATCTTCACTATGTGCTTCACTATGTCGAATGAAAATTTAATAATAATTCAAACTTCAAGATCTTGAGATATTCACCTGCTTTTTTTTTATAATCTGGCAGTTTATACTTTCTCATCTTTATCTACTATTTTGGATGCATTTGGATTATTTTGCTTCAGATAAAACTATTAACTCCCTCTTCTGGTGAATTTACTACAGGTTCAAAGGGACCAACTTTAGATTCAAATTGAACCCAATCTTGAAATCAACTCTCAATCTTTGGAAGCGATATGTGTTTTCATGCTTTTTGATAGTTTTCTATCCTCGGTTTGGATTGATCTTATACATTTTACAGTAAAATACAGTAAATAAAGCAAAATAATCATTCTAACGGTTAGTGTTAGGATGAAAAGTTTGTAAAATCATTTTAACAGCTCTTTATGGTTAGTAGAGTTCTAATCCAGATAAACTCATCATCTGGTAAACATATATTCAGATCTGGATATCTGATAATTATCCGGATAAACGCTTAACAGATTGAAACTCTAATGGTTAGTGTTAGGATGGGAAAGTTCGTATTATAAAATCATTCTAACAGCTTTTTATGATAGTGTTAAGAAGTTTGTATTATAAAATCATTCTAACGGCTCTTTATAGTTAATGTTAGAATGAGAAAGTTTGTATTACTGTATAAGATCATTCTAAGAGCCCCTTATGATTATTGTTAGAATGAGATTTAGCATCTCTTTATAATTAGTGTTAAGATGAGAAAGTTCATATTATAAATTATCTAACAGCTCTTTATAATTAGTGTTAGGATGAGAAAGTTTGTATTATAAAATCATTTTAGCAGCTCTTGTTAGGATGAGAAAATTCTTATAAAATCATTCTAAGATAGAGATGGGCAAATCGCAGTTTTTTCAATGGGATAGGATTACCAGTCTGTAGACTTTTTAATTTTTGCATTTAATAAAAAAAACTGTACAGAATTTATTATTGAAAATTAATTTTCTTGTTAGAATTAGTTATTTTTATAAGTCTTATTTTTTATAAATAAATTAATTAGGAATTGTCTAGATAGTAAATGCAGGCCAGATGGTTTGGTAATGCTAGCCGGATAATTTTATTTGAGATATTAAAAATCTCGCGCATCATGCACGTGCCCATCTCTATTATAAAGCCATACAAAATTAAATAATTGTTTCTCATAACATAGAATTCTAAAAGTGACCCGCCCGCCCAGCTTTTAATTTTTAAATCATAAAAATTTTATAAATTTTTCTTTGCTAAAATCATTCATTTTTGCGATAGTGATAAAATTGTTCTGGACTTAATGTAAATTATTAATAATATAGGTCATCAAAAGGAAATTTTCGTAGCAAATCGCAAATTTAGGCAAATTTAGTTTCTTACTAGCACTATTAACGAGGCTTTAATGAGGTTTTTGACAGAGTATAAAAAATTACTAATTTTTCATACTCCATCAAATAACCTCGTTAAAACCACGTTAATAGTGCTAGTAAGAAACTAATTTGTCTAAATTTCGATTTGTTATGAAAATTTCTTCTTGACAACCTATATTATTAATAATTTATATTAAGTCCAGAATATTTTATTGCTATCGCAAAAATGAACGATTTTAGCAAAGTTTTCAATTTTTGTAAATTGTATGATGAGGTTACATAGAATTTGAGCCAATAATATATAACATAATGTAATTACTAAGATTAAAAGTGATTATTTGCCAGTGACTGTAAAACTACTTATAAATTGCTTATGAGTTACTTGTCAGTTACTTATCAGTTTTTATATATGCTGTTCATGAGTAAAGTAACCAAAAAACAACCCACATATAACAGAATTTTGATTTTAGTGACCAAGTAACTTCTTGTGACCCGGCGACCCGGCTTTTAATTTTATTTTCAAAAAATTTTATATATAAAAAATATATAAAATTTTTTTACAAAAATTTAAAAAAGTTC